CCCGCGCCTGCAGGGGAACTGGCTGGGCGAGGTCACGTGGCTCGACACGTGATCACTTAAAAGTTGTTACCTTGGGGAAGAAATGGGCACACGAAGGGTCGGCTAGTCTTTCGAATGTGGGCTGGAAACTACAAAACCCAGCGTCTCGGGAGCTGCCTTTCCCCCAACAGGAAGTGGAGCGTCCCCGGCCGGAGGGCGACGCTGGGGACGGGCCCCTGCTTCGGGCGCTCGCTTGGCGGGCGGCGCTTTCCCAGGTTATCTGTCCGCTGCTTCCTTTAGGAAAAATAGAAAGGAGCCAGCGGGACGCCCCTTCCGTCCTGTGATCACCTCGCTGGCTGCTGCTACCCAGCACGTCGGCCAGCCCACTGCATTCTTCTGCACCCCGGTAAGGAGACCTTAAAATGCACGGGGAGATACGTTTATGCTTGGGTCTCATTTTTGGAACTTTGGGGGAAGAGCAGTGTGGAATGTGAAAATCCGGAGGTTTTATTTTTGAAAATATGACTATTCTACAGTAGGTTTGTGTGTGTGCATATTGTTTTTTTTAATGTTCATGTTAATTAAAACTCGTAGGAGAGACGCGAGGTTCCAGATTAAGTTCTGGAAAGAATGTTTTGCCTCCGCCTTTCTTGACATTATTTTCATTTGAACATAAAAACATTTTCAATTAGTAGCGTTTACTAAGTTGTTTAGGAAGCTTGTATAATATTAATAGACTGAATTTTACTCTGCTGCACTGCTGGGGGAACATTAGTTTGGGTACAAAAGACAAGATAAAGATAAAACCTTTTTCTGATATTAGAGTTTTCTTTTGAAACTGATTTATTATTTCATTATGATATAACTAATGAGAGAAGGGAATATATAGAAATATCTTATCAAATTTCAGCAAATGATTTTCAGCATTTCACTCATCAAGGTCAGCTGCAATTTGAACCTGTATATTTTTTTGTATTCTGCCTTTGAAATCTGCATTGTATTCCATGCTGCTGTGAATCAGAAATTGCTCTGATGGTTTTCTGAGAAACAGAAGCCCCCATTAGCTGCTTTCAAATCTTTTTTTTTTTTAATTTTAATCATTTTGGGGGTAGCTCTTACAGATATGATAACAATCTGTAGTTCAATCACATCAAGCAGTAGTGTACAATTGTTATCACAATCAATTTCAATACTTTTTTCTTTCTTCTTGAATTCATTGATAACAGCTCCCCTTAACCCATACCTCCACCCCCTCCCCGCTATCCAATCTTTTTGAAACAAGTTGAAGAAATTTTTATTTCTATTATATTGGTTTCCTAGGATTTTCCCACGTTAATTGGCTTCCCGGGACCCCAAAAAGATATAAAATAGATATTCCTGTTCAGGCACTATCCTTTCAGAATTTGTCAGTACCATTTCACAGCTTTTACACCTCTAGATATCATCATGTCCATCTTTAGTGCTGGAGATATTTTATTTTGCAATATGGAATGTGGATGAACACTATGTGAATCAGTAAAAGTTTGATAAGTGAAAAATGGTTGTATTTCATTTATTTTGTCATGTTGAAATAGTCTTTATCCCATGCATATTATTTCTTTGTGTTGTCCTGTCGTAGTAAGTTTCATTCATTCACGAGTCATTTAATGAGGGTCTACTATGTGCCAAGCTTTGTACTAGGCACAAAACCAAATAAATCCAAAATATGATTCCCCCGAAGGAATTTTATGAATAGAAGTAGTGACAGGGAAATCAGCCCAGGGTTTTAGAGGTGTCTGATATTAACAGTCTCCTAGGTATGCCGTATTTTGCATGACTGTAGAAACTAAGCCACTCCTTTTGCCCTGGCCACAGCATGCATCATGTAAGAACATGCAGTGGTCACTCAGAGACAGTACTTCTGCTCCATGTAGGTAGTCCTTACAGATGCTGTCTCTCCTTTCTGAACTCGCAATTCCTTCGTGCGTTATAAAATTAATGTTGAAAGGTGGATATAGTCCTAAAAAGTCAAGCTAATAAAAGGATTTCTACCTGGACTCTTCAATATTTGTTTCTGATCGGTCTACTGTGTGCACCATAGCAGGGGAAGCAGAAGACCAGTTCAGTTCTGTGAGGAAGGAAAGCAAAGAAAATGAAGGGCAGAAGCTCGTCTCTAGCATGTTCAGCTCCTCCTGGGTTCCCACCACCAGGAATAGGAAGGATCCCACCTGTCATTCTTCAGGAACTGGAGTAGCACTTATCCACAACCCTATTTTAGACCCCGCGGTTTTGAGATCCTTCAACTGGACTGACTGCCCTGTGTACTTGGAAAGGAAAAGGGAAGTGTAGCAGTAGAAAGAGGAGCTCTGCTGGCTCAGTGCTTAAAGTGCTCCGCTGCTGCCAGGTCTGGACAGCAAATCTACCAGCTGCTCGGCTGGAGAAGGATGAGGAAGGGGCTTCTTTGAAGATGTATATAGCCTTGGAAACTGGCTCAGTTCTCATCTGCCCTCGGAGGCACTGAGTTGGCATCGACTCAACGGCAGTGGGTTTGGTAATGGTAGATAAAACTGAAAAATATATCTAGATAATAAATATATCTAGAAATTGAACAAAGTACAAATTGCTAACATATTCAGAG